CTCTGTCTGCCGTCTTTTATGCACCTCTCTTTAATGGCTTTTAATTCCCCACACAAATACATCCTCCAAACCAAAGAGGACAGAGAGCAGATCACTGTTCCTATGATGGATGGGTATTACTATTAAACAAAACAAAGAAAAGGGAAATGTTCTATTCAGTCTAAAATGTGTGCTACATTTTTAAATAATAAGAGAATTGACCATCAGTAGAGGCTGATTTGCCTGGCATTAATCATCCCAATATAAACTTTTGGATTCCTTCTACTGCAAACATTTAAAAACAGTTTTTGAGTGTTGCTACCTATAGGTGATGTAATACTGCAATCTGGTGGACAAAGAAAATATAACAAGAAAAAAAAGGCCAACATTTTTGAATCATGATTTCTCTCTGCTTACAGGTGAAGGTTAACTCTTTATTACCCTTCTTCTGTTGTAGGGGACTACATGAAACAACAGAAAACATAATATGTGTTAAGAAGGGTTGTAAGCTCCATCATCCAGGTAGATAACATTTGATTGTTGTACTTCATGACTGGATGGGTGTGTTTTGCACGTGTTAAAAACTTACTTTTGAGATTCCAACAGGAGGTTGGCTTGAAACACAGCAGTGAAGGCTACCTATGGGACAGATCTGGTTTGCAGGCTGTAGACTGATGAAGTCCTCTGGATGGAGGTTGAAGCATTTCTCACTTAAAGAAACTGGACCAGATGACACGATTTAAACTTTGTTGCTGCAACATGTATTACGGTTAACTGTTGGAAAACTCAAAGTAAACACACTTTGTCTTTAAATAACCCATTTATAGCATGTTTAATGAAACAAATGTGTATGTGAGTAGCAGCAACTGTGACTTTAGTGTAAGAGTACCACTGCCTGCAGCTCCTCCTCCAAGATGGCCGCTAATTAATCACACCTGACGGCCATCAGACTGAGGAGGCTCTCCTACTACAAAAGGCTGCAGTCCAGTGCTACTCTTCGCTGGAGCATATCACCTTCCATGGTAGTTGTGCTTCAAGCCTTTTAGGCTTAGTCTCGCCAGTACTAACCTTGTTCTCTTGTTTCTAGTAATCCTGATTCCTCGGCTTGTTCAAAGGACCCCCGTGATCCTTTGATTCCTGACTCCTCGTGTCCTGTTCTTGGTTCCCTGGATCTCCTCGTGACCTGTTCTTGGTTTGCTGACCCCCTTGGGTCTCTCCTTGGTTTGTCCTCTCCTGCGCCTGGATCCCTTTTTGCCTGGTGCCTCTAATCTGGCCAGTGCCTGCCCTGCCAGCCGCTGGACTCTCTCTCTGGAGCTCCCCGGAGGACTGGACCCCATCTCTGGATCAAACTGTAAGAGATTCACAGAAAACAATCTTTACCTTTTTTTGGAGCTCAGCCTCGTCCTGACTCTCCTCCTTTAACTCCTCCAGGAGCTGCAGAGGAGCTGAACCTGAACTGTTGTTTTTCACTTGTAAATAAACACCGTTTTCTTGTATTCCACCTGAGTCTGTCTCGTTCCGGGTCTCATACAAATCTGGGTTCCCCTCGGTTACGACATTTAGAAACCATTCAAGACCTTCATGTTGCAGCCTGGAGATTAAAACGACCCTTGCAGGGAAATAAAAACATAACTTCAATAACGGCATGCTCAATAATCCAGGTATAAAATCCAACAATGCTCATTCAGGTCATCCGGATGGTTTCTTTTATTAGCTGAGACATTTCGTTTGTCATCCAAAGGACTTCTTCGATCTGAGGAGCCACCAACAAACACAACTGATTCCCACAAACAGCACTCCATAGTGGGGAAAAAAAACCAGTTTGCTGGTGCTAAGATGGCCTCCAGGGATCGCACTCTCTCCCGTCAACTCCTCTGAAACAGTCATGCCAAAGTGGTTCAAAACACCAAGGTTCATGCTCAGTAAGCCAGGTATAAAATCCAACAATGTTCAGTCAGGTCATCTGGACAGTTTCTTCTTTTTGCTGAGACGTTTCATCCTTCATCCTTTATTTTTCTTTACTACTATGGAGTGCTGTTTGTGGGAATCAGCTGTTTGTTGGTGGCTCCTCAGATCGCAGAAGTCCTTTGGATGAAAGACGAAATGTCTCGGCTAAAAAAAGAAACCATCCAGATGACCTGACTGAGCATTGTTGGATAACGTCAAGTCAACTTTATTTATAGAGCACATTTAAAACAAAACCTGTTATCAAAGTGCTTAACAACAACAATCAATGGGAGTAAAATTAAAGAGGAAAAAATACAATACATTAATAATAACTGAAGAATTAATAAAAAGCATTTAAATCAGGATCACAGAACAAAAACACTAAATCAATGTACACTGTGTGAAATGCCTGCGAGAACAGATGTGTTTTTAGCAGAGATTTGAAGTGAGGAAGGGAGGTGGCCTGCCTGATGTTGGGAGGCAGGTTGTTCCAGAGTTTGGGGCCCATGACTGAAAATGCCCGATCTCCTCTGAGCTTCAGTCTTGTTTTTGGAACAGCCAAAAGCAGATGATCGGATGATCTCAGGGCCCGAGAGGAAACGTAAGGTTCCAGTAGCTCAGAGAGGCTTGAAGGTCAACAGAAGAATTTTAAAGACTATCCTCGTACAAACAGGGAGCCAGTGGAGGGAGGACAGAACTGGAGTAATATGTTCAGACCTACGAGTTCCGGTTAAAAGCCGAGCAGCAGCATTTTGGACGAACTGAAGACGTGAGATGGAGGCCTGGCTGACCCCAGCATAGAGTGCATTGCAATGGTCCAATCGGGTCATGACAAAGGCGTGGACTAGTTTCTCAAGGTCGGGTCTGGACAATACTGGCTTGAGCTTAGCTACCTGTCTTAGTTGGAAGAAGCTTTTCTGCAGAACAGAGTTGATTTGTTTGTCAAACTTGAAGTCAGAGTCTAAAACCATCCCGAGATTTTTACCAGACTGCTTCAGATATGGCTGAAGAGAGTCCAGGTTGACAGGATCAGTGGTGGCAGTTGAGCTAGGGCTAAAGACAGTGACTTCAGTCTTCTCATCGTTAAAACTTAAGAAATTTGAAGCCATCCAGGCCTTAATGTCGTCCAGACATTTTAACAGCGGGTGAATGGAACAAACACTTGCTGGTTTCACAGGCAGGTAGATCTGACAGTCATCAGCATAACAATGGAATGAAAGACCGTGTTTCCTCAGGATGGACCCCCAGTGGGAGCAAATAAAGTGAGAACAGAAGGTGTCCAAGAATCGAACCATGTGAGACCCCGCAAGAAAGAGGCAATGAGGCAGATACATTGTTACCAACCTTGACACAAAAACTCCTGCCACTCAGGTATGAGCGGAGCCATTGTAATGCAGTGATCCCAACCCACTATTCCAGCCGTGATATAAGGAGACTGTGGTTAACAGTATCAAAAGCAGCAGTAAGGTCCAGGAGCACAAGTACCACAAATTGACCAGAATCAGTCACTTCAATAACTTTTGTGTTCTCTGTTTTTCTTCCCACAGTAATACATCCATTTTCTCCTGCTTGTCGTGCAAGTGACAGTGCATGTTGCTGCTGTGAACACTTGCAGTTCTTTTTTGTGCAGAAGCAGAGAGCAGCAGATAGTTTTGTCTCAGCTCCTGAGTTCAAATTCAGATGACGTGAATACAGGAACATTAATCCAACCAAACTGTTTCTTTGCTGCTGGTGCTGACTGGTCCTGATACACAAACACACACTGTTCTGACATTTTCACTAAACTGCTGCAGAGTGTTTCAATCATTTTGATTTACATTGTTTCGCCAGGAAGCATAAATCCTGTTTAACACATCAGAATCTGTAGACTTTGACACAATGAACATGCTGTTTTGTGCTCATTTTTAATCACAGATAGACAGACAAATACACACACACACAGAGGTTTGTTTTGCTCATTTATGGGGACTTTGCATTGACCTCCGTAGGGGAGAGGTGGCGCAGAGGTTAGAGAGGTGGGCCTGTGATGGGAAGATTGCCGGTTCACACCCCGGTATCGGCAACATCAAAAATGTGGGTGGGGTAGGTGAAGCACCCACACTTGCCTCCACCCTCATTCATCCCACCCTGGGCCCATGAGCAAGACCCTTAACCCCCCATCTGCTCCCTAAACATGTCTCTCTTGAAAACGAATTCTCGTGGCTCAATGAGACTACCTGTATAAATTATTTATTTATTCATTCATTTCATTTCAGTAAAAACAAGACTTATTCCATACAAATAAAATAAGATACATATAAAATGAAAGTCAGCAGAAGAAGAATGAATTCTTATCATTTCTGTCCCTTCTAAACAATATTAATTCAAAACGATCTATTCAAACAATACATAATACAACAAACCAAAAAACTTATCACAATTCATTATAATTCCATACCATTATCCAACTTAAATATATTTCATCATCAATACATTCTTAATCTTTTATTTACCTGTATAAATAAAGGGTAAATGAAAAAAAAAAAATTGACGTCCATTCATTTTTCATTCATTTCTATAACCTAACCCTGACCTTTACCCTAAACATAACACATCCTCAATTCACACCTCAGCCCTAAACCTAACTCCTAACCCACCAACGATACTTCTCCTTATGGGGCCCGGGCTTTGGGCCCCATGAGGAGCGGTTGGTCCTCACAATGTAGTATAAGTTGGAAAAATAGGTCTTACAAAGTAACATAAACAAAGACACACACACACACAGACATTATATAGATATAAGGAAAAAATACAGACAGACAAATAGAGGGAAAGACTGACAGAGGGACAGACAGACAGACAGACAACATATAGATAGAGGGAAAGACAGACAGACAGGTGAGTTGTGAATTTTTCAGACACCAGAGGGTGCTTTCCCCTTACTTGACTCCTGTGCGCACTGCGCATGTGCGTGTTTTCCTTGGACTGGCATGAACTGTGCGTCTCTCCGAGCGCGTCCCGTCTGGACCAATGAGAGGCGGTGGAGCTGAGCTTTAAAAGCTCCTGGAGGCAGCGGGGGCAGCAGTAATGACCCACAACACCAAGCAGCTCTGGGAACACTCATCATTTGTTCGGTCCAGGTTTTTCTTCACCTAGCACAAGGTAAGAAGCTGTTTGCACCTCCAGCTCATCAGCTGTTGCTCCCTCAGCCGTTTCTTCTGCAGTCATGTGCAGGGAAGTTTCTGTCGTCTGAACTTTGTAGGTTCTGGTGTCAGAAAGATGGCCACATCAGCAAGCTCCAAACTGAACAAAGCCGTGAAGCAACAGTACATGGACCTGCCTCAGGGGGATAAGGTTCAGGCCATGTACATATGGATAGATGGCACCGGAGAGGGACTCAGATGCAAGACCAGAACTTTGGATTTTGAGCCCAAATCAGTAGAAGGTAAGAACCAGATGAAGCTGAAGTGTTTCAGTGTGTTCATATGACTGAGCAACATCATGGAGCACTACATATTCATAGTTTTCAAACTTTTTCTTCTCAACTTCATCCCTGACCTATCTGCTGTGCTCCTTGGTCTTCATGATGCTGTTTGACCACGAAAATTCTGCAATCTGACGTCTCCACAGAACAGCTGGATTGACTGGGATTAAATTACACACAGGACGACCCTGAATATATGTCATTTAGCATTTTCTGTGACATTCTCTGAGTGCTCAACGACTGTGCTAGAAACTGAAGAAGCTGAGACTGAGTGGTTAAAGTTTAAAAAATCAGAATAGTAGCTCGAATCTGCAAAACAGCAGCTAAAAGCTCAAACAAGCAAAATGTAGCTAAATGTTAAAACCAGCAAAACTGCAGCTAAAATCTTAAATGATCAAAACAGTAACAAATGTCTAAAATTCACACAATTGTAGCTAGAATTAGCAAAGCAGTACCAACGTTCTAAAAGGAGCAAAACCATAGCCTAGCATGACGACTGCTAAAAGCTAAAATTAACATAATAAAAGCAAAAACCTAAATGTATCTACCAATAAATAATAACAAAACTGAAACATAAAATTTAAAAGTAGCTAAACTCAGTATTCATTTTTATACAACCAAAAATGTTTGATAAAGTTAAATACTTTATAAAGTTACAAAATAACCTTAGAAGCCAAACTCTGAATGAGCTGGACGTTTTGATAGCTGGATGGCTAAAATAGCTGACAGTATCACGTCAAATCCCAGTGAAATATTTAGACGGTGGTCGTTGTAACGTGACAAAATGTGGAAAAGTTTTAAGAGCTAAATCAATACTTTTTATCATGTTTGAAGATCTGTTCATAGAGCACGGGGCAGGTTGTAGATTTCATGAATTTTCCTGTGTCAGATCTTCCAGAGTGGAACTTTGATGGCTCCAGCACGTACCAGTCAGAAGGCTCCAACAGCGACATGTTCCTCGTCCCTGCAGCCATGTTCAGGGACCCGTTCAGAAGGGACCCCAACAGACTGGTGCTCTGTGAGGTGCTGAAGTACAACCGTAAACCTGCAGGTGAGCCAAAACAAATCAACAAGAGCAAACCAGGGAAGAGCCAACTCAAGTTTCAGCTAACTTTTGGTGTTGGTCAGAAACAAACCTGCGACGCAGCTGTAAGCAGATCATGAGGATGGTGGAGAACCAGCACCCCTGGTTTGGGATGGAACAGGAGTACACCATCCTGGGCACAGATGGTCATCCCTTTGGCTGGCCTTCCAACGGTTTCCCAGGCCCACAAGGTAAGTGTCTATGTTTACCTGGTTGTTTGGTGTAACAATGACATTTTAATAGTCTTAGAGTTGATGTTTTGTTTCTGTTCCTCCTGTTAGGGCCTTATTACTGTGGCGTGGGAGCAGATAACGCGTACGGACGAGACATAGTGGAGGCGCACTACAGAGCCTGTCTGTACGCTGGGGTTCAGATCTATGGAACAAATGCTGAGGTCATGCCAGCACAGGTACAGCTCAGACACGGTCTGTAACTACAGGTTAATTAATGGTGTTTTGAATAAATCAGTTTAAATGTTGCCTCTGTTTCAGTGGGAGTTCCAGGTGGGACCTTGTGAAGGCATCGACATGGGAGACCATCTATGGATCGCTCGCTTCCTCCTGCATAGAGTGTGTGAGGATTTCGGTGTTGTTGTGTCATTCGACCCCAAACCTATATCGGGGAACTGGAACGGCGCTGGCTGTCATACCAATTTCAGCACTAAAGATATGCGTGATGACGGAGGATTAAAGTAAGGATCGATCTGTACTATTTAATTTATTAACAACAAAAAGGACAACTGGGTAATTCAGATGTTCCTAATGTCTTTCAGAGTCATAGAGGAGTCCATTGAGAGGCTGGCGAAGAGACACACGTATCATATCCGAGCCTATGACCCAAAAGGTGGGCTTGACAACGCCAGGCGCCTCACCGGTTACCACGAAACCTCGAACATCGACGAGTTCTCTGCCGGCGTGGCCAACCGCAGGGCCAGTATCCGCATCCCTCGCATGGTTGGGCAGGAAATGAAGGGCTACTTCGAAGACCGCCGTCCGTCTGCCAACTGTGACCCGTACATCGTCACCGAGGCGTTGGTGCGCACGTGTGTACTGAAAGAAGATGAAGGCGGGCCCACCATTTGCGGCGAATGAACAGGAAGTGCCATTAACAGTATTGCATGAGCCGTGTTATCTATACTTAAGAGCAGACCCAAAGTTCTGTACTGTTTGGATTCTCCACCTGACAGATGAAATGATTGAGAAACTTCTGCATTCTTTGAGTTTGGAGCAAACGATGCACACTGCCTTCAGTCAACAGAGGGTTTTGTCACAGTGGAGTTGTTTTAGACATACACTATTATTTTTTGTTGAACTTGGGTTAAAGGTGTACCCTTTAGCAACACACTTTAAAGGTGGGATCTCAATGGGCTGTGGCTAGTTTGAAAATTAAATTGTGAAAAAACTTTCTGTTGTAGTCTCAGATTTCTATCGTTTGAGACGTAGCGAGCCGTGTAGCCACGTTTTGAAAATCGCAGCTGTTTCCGTACGGGAGTTAAACTACAGCTCTGCAGACGGGTTCCAAACACCCACAACAAAACAAAAAGACTGCAACTTCTCAAACTTGTACCAGTTGAATAAAAATGACCACAGACATTTTGAGCCGTTCTGGAGACAACCTCATGAATGATGTTTGCAAACTACCGGTAGTCCCTCATCATTCACATTCCAGTGAGATACAACCTTCAAGACCTCGAAGACTTTTGAATGTTTTATCAACCTTGACCTCTGATATCACACTGATGTTTGGTAAGGTCACCGTGAAGGATGGCCTACTTTTCTATGCTTTTAAATGAATGTATGTTAATATTGTCCTTTTTCATGTGTTTGCTGCTTTTTTCTTTTTCATTTGCTGTTAAGTCTACAATAAATGTATACTCTTTTTACGTTTGACATTTGTCTTCAGTTCATTATCATCTGCGACAGAAGTCGAATGAATGGTCAGCTAAGAAACTGCTGTTAAAAGAAATTTTGCTGTAATGTTCACACATCCTCTCAGTTATTTCTCAGATTCATCATCACGTATGGCGGCACTGAGAGCTTCACTTCAACTCACCTTTTTTTCATCATTGTTTTTGTTTTGACTTTTGGCACCTGTACTGATCTCCCGCGCTTCAAATATGACCTCGACACGCTTCTGGAGTTGCATTTGTCAGTGAGAAAGGACTTTAAGCCGACTTCTAGGGACACCATGGCAGACATTTTCCCTTGGGTCCTTTGTTTACTTGGGCACCATGAGTAAAACAAGATGGAAGAAAGCCAGTGTTTTGTGCAGGATCTGCCAGAGATGCAGCAAACCCGCTCTCCCCTCAGTCCTGCTTACAAAGTTTCAGTCTCTGACGAATAAGCTGGATGACGGATTTATTACAAACAGGACACGAGGAGCTAAGGTGCTTCTGCTTTTACGGAATCGTGGCTGAAGCCGTCCATCCCCAACTGTGCTGTGACTCCAGACAACGTTTGTATCTACTGGCTGTACAGAACTGAGGACTCAGGCAAGTCTTGCAGAGGGGGAGTGTGATTTATGGTTAACTCTTTGTGGACAACAGATGTACACATTTTAACAACTATTAAAGCCAGGCCCTTTTATCTGCTTAGAGAATTCAGCTCAGTGATCCTCGCAATAGTCTTCTACATCTCATCTCACTCAGGCATCTCACCCAAGCCCCGGACAAACTGTATGGGATTAATCCAACATTTTTCAGTCAGGTCATCTGGACAGTTTCTTTTTTTTTTTTGTGCTGAAACGTTTCGCCTTCGATCCGGAAGGCTTCATCAGTCAAGTTTCCCCGCCCGCTCCAGATCTTTGAGGTCAGACAGCCAGCTCCTGCTCTCTGTTCCAAGGACTAAATATAAACGCTGGGGTGACCGTGCCTTTTCTGCGGTCGCACCTCGACTCTGGAATAAGCCCCCACTTGATCTGCGTCGGATTACTGAACTTGGCCCTTTTAAATCGAAGCTTGAGACTTTTTTATTCCAACAAGCTTTTAGTACGTAAATATGTGGTGACATTTCTGGTTTTATTTGTGCTATTATGTTGTGTTTTCTTGCTTTTAACCTATTGTCATTTTAAGTACTGTTTTTTGTTAAGCACTTTGGTCACCATCACCATGGTTGTGTAAAGTGCTATAGAAATAATTAAATAAAAGGAACCAGTTATGTTGGTGATAAGTTGGTCTCTTTGTCACACAAAGTGGAACAAACCTTTATTGTTTTCAACCAGTTTTACACAGTCAACAACGAAGAGGGCCGGCAATGGAGGAGGGGGCGTTACAAAGAGACCAACTCATCACCAACATAACTGTTTTGTTCCACTTTTGGAGTAAGCTTTTGGGGGAAGAATCAGTTTTGTGTTGTGTGTTTCCTTGACTGATGAAGACTTCCGGATCGAAGGCAAAACATTTCAGCACAAAAAAAAAGAAAGAAACTGTCCAGGTGACCTGACTGAAAAATGTTGGATTGTATACCTGGATAATTGAGCATGGACTTTGTTGTATGGGATTAATATAAACACACTTGAAAATACACATCCTGATGACAACCAAGTTCATCCTCAATCATCCAGGTACATCCTGATGCTGCCTTCATTGTTTTGGAGGACTTTAATAAAGCCATCATGAAGGCGGTTTTACCAAAATTCTATCAGCACATATCTCTCCCAACCAGTGGAGAGCAGATCCTGGACCAGTTTCACCCCATTCAAAGACACAAACCCCTCCTCCGTCAGATAAAGCAGACAACAGTGCTATCCTGCTGTTACCGGTTTACAAACAAAGGCTCAAACAGGAAAAAACAGTTCCATGGGGCAAGAGGGACAATGTGGCTGATGAGGCCCTACATGATTGCTTTGGAGTTACTGATTAGCAGATGTTTTCAGACTCAGCTGGGGGTGAGATCATTGTGTACACAGACTGTCATAGGCGACATAGGGAAGTGCATTGATTATGTTGTGCCTAAAACCTCCATCTGCACTTACCCTAACCAGAAACCATGGGTTGGACCAGAGGTTTGTGCTAAAGCACGCACCGCTGCCTTTTAAGGGTGCATTCATACCAGCCCTGTTTAGTTCGCTTTAATCGAACTCCAGTCCTTAACTGGAGTTGGGGAGGTGTGAATGTGCAATCAAATTCTGATGCAGACCAAAAAGGCAAACTCAGGTCCGCCTAAATACCTAGGTCTCGGTTCGGTTGAAGTGAACTCTAGCGCTTTTCGAATGCATTGTGAATGCAAGCGGACCAGAGACTGCTCCAAAAGCAGGAAGTGGTCTACGCAGGGCAAACAAACGCACATTTCTCTTACCTTGTACGGAGCCGTCAGCCGTCATGTGTGGAAAAACAACATTCTCCATGGTATTCTGCCTTATCTTACGCTCATACAGAGTCCATGTTGAATAACAAAACAGAAATCCTAAAACCACTAAAATTTGATGCCACTCCATTTTTGTCTTTATTTCCAGAAGAAGAAGAAGTTTCTTCTTCAGAAGTTTTTGAGTTGTTTCCTTCAGTAGTTCTTGGTGCAGCATCACCACAGGCGAGGTGGGGGGTGGGGGGTTTAGGTTGGCTCAACTGACTCAGTGCAGTACGAATGCAAACTGCATCCCCAGTTGAAAATGTGAACAAACGTTCTGAATTTTTGTCCCCACATGAACTGAGTCTACCGGACTATCAGGTGTGAAAACATCCTAAATCTGGAGACCCTGAGGCCTGAAAAGCAGCCAAATATGACCTCTGAAAGACTGTCAGAATTTATCAGAGGAAATACAGGGAGCATATGGAATCTGCCCAACAGAGCAATGACCCAAGGTGCATGTGGCATAGACTACACAACATCACAGAATACAAGGGGAGGAACAAGTCTGTAAAGTTGTCCAGCACATCACTTTCAAATGAGCTCAACACCTTCTACACATGGTTAATTGCAGCCAATACCACACACGTCACCAGACCACATGTAGACAGTGAGGACACCACACTCTGTATAGACACTGCTACAGTGAGATGGGCGTTCAAGAAAGTACACCCTCGCAAGGCACCAGGACCTGATGGCATCCCAGGATGGGTGCTGAGAGCATGCGCTAGCTCTGACCAACTCACCAAGTTTACCAATATTTTAACATATCTCTGAGCCAGTCTATGGTTCCCACTATCTTCAAGACCTCCACTGTTGTCCCCATCCCAAAGACCTCTGCAGTATCCTGCCTTAATGACTTTCAATCCATAGCACTCACAACTGTCATCATGAAGTGCTTTGAGCAAATTATCAAGACTCACATCTATGTCTCCCTCTCTGATACCCTGGACCCCCTACAGCTGGCATATAGAGCAAACGGGTCTACAGATGATGCCACCACCCTGTGCCTGGAGAAGTCCATCTACTGCTTGATACTGAACTTCCTCACCAACAGACCCCAGGCAGTGAGAATCGGCAGTCACCACTCCTCCACACTAGTCCTCAGCACCAGTACACCTCAGGGCTGTGTCCTCAGTCCACTTTTGTACTCTCTCTTCACTCATGACTGTACCACCAGGGACAGCTCAAACGTCATCTTCAAGTACGCTGGTGACACCACCATCTTGGGTCTCATCACCGACAACTAGCGTGCTTACAGAGACGAGATGAAATCACTGACCAGCTGGTGTCAGGAAAATAACCTCATTCTGAATGTCATCAAAATGAATGAGATGATGGTGGACTTCAGGAGACATAAACAATGCTGAAGTGGAGGAGATCTACAACTTCAAGTTCCTCGAAGTTCACATCACTGAGGGTTTGTTCTGGATATCAAATACAGACACTGTGGTCAAGAAAGCTCGACAAAGACTCTACTTCCTAAGAAGACAGGAAGTTTGGTACAAACACCTACTAACTTTTATAGGTGCATTATTGAGAACCTGCTGACAGGTTGCATCACAGTGTGGTATGGGAACTGCACCAGTCAGAGCTGGAAAGCACTACAGAAGGTGATGAAAATAGTAGAGGACATCACTGGTAGCAGTCTCCACACCATCCAGGACATTTACCACAGGTGTCTGCATAAAGCATGCAGCATCATTCAGGACTACATCCACCTAGCACAAGGACTTTTCCGTATACTACCCTAAGGCAGATGGTACAGGAGCCTGCCATCATGCACGAAAAGACTCAAAGACAGTTATTACCCACAAGCTGTCAGATTATCAAAC